GATGCATGTGAAGTTATAGGTCATTAATATTCTGAATTCAATACTTATTCTTGATCATCATTTTTCAAATTATTTGAACAACAAACCTCTAGATTTTAGCTTCTAAATGATGAACTTAATTTATGGGGGTAGAATTTTTTTCTTTCTTTCCATTTTTCCTGGATGATAAAAACAACGAAGATGGAAATTAAAAGCTTTAATCTTGTTCTCTTTAGCTGACTTGCTTATTGGGATTATAAGAGTGTTCTCTATTAGTAGACCGAGATCCATTACAACCCAAAAAACTGAGAAAAAGAAATAAGATCCGAACTCTTTAACAAAGTCATTTTGTCATTCTCACAAGATTGTTGGTTTTTAATGCAAATAATAACTTACTAATATTGAAAGTCAGTCTTGGTTGGAAACCACCTTTTGAACTTGAAATCTTAAGGAACTGTTTGGTAGATTAATTAAAAAATGTTATTCTGAAAACCTATTTTAAGTTGACTTGAGTTGGATTAAGTCGAATTGGATCAGATTCTAAAAATGTGTTTGGTAAAATATCAAAAAAGTATATTCAAAGTTTGATAAAATGTTTAATAGTTGTTGGATATATTTTCTGAAAAATATTTTAAATTTTTTTTAACCCTCTACATTTTTTAATTTAGCTGAAACACTCCCACAATAAAAGTTTAAAAATTAACTAAAGCAACCCAGCCACCCAAGAGGACAGCCAACCGTCGGCCACCACCGTCGGGCGGCAATCGACAATTTCCGGAATGGCACATGATCGGTTGGATTTGGCCATCGTTAACAGCTAGAATTTGGCCGTCATCAACAGCTAAATTTGGCTAGAATCTAGCCATAGGTCTAGTCGTTTCCAGCTAGATCGACACACAATCACCACATTTGGTCGGTTGTGTGTCGTTTTGGCCATGATGACTTGTGGTGGCTATTGACGGCAGCAGCGATGGTGGTCTTGGGTGGATTAATTTTCAGATCGGAAAGGTGATTATGTTTAGTTGAGTAGAGTTGGAAAAATGTTTTGAGTTGAATAAAATAGGATAATCTGAAAACAAGTCCCATCCACTTTTTATTTTTAGACAAAAAATCCTATTTGAGTTGGATTAATTTTTTGAATGAATTGACCCAATAAGTAAACAAATACATATTTTGTTTTTTTAACTAAACAGGATGACAGAATAATGATCCAGAATATTAAAACAACCAGGGCTAACACACTGGTGTTGTTATCTAAGACCTCAATATCCATTATGTATGCATTCACAAAAGCTGGGATTGAAATTCGGGTTTGGCTTAATTTTGATATTAGGGTTCTTAATTAAATTTGGGAAAAATTACAATTTAGGGTTGATAATCCAAATTCTAAAGTTTTAGGATTAAATTTTAAATTTTCGAATTGAACCCAACAATTTCCCATCCAAATCCACACGAGCTACCAATCATTCACAAAAAATTCATTATCTCCCTTGCATAAGCCGAGAAGTGTCCATGGGTTTTCTAAACTTTTCTTTGGCAGTCTAGATTCCTTGAAGTTCACTGATGATTATATTGCTTGAATGTGTTGTGTGTTGATTGATTTGTTGTTTTTGAGCCATTAGAAGACCTTTTTCAGCCACTAGAGATGAGGAAGAGCTAATTTTTGGCTACTAGTGTCACAGAAACACGATCTGGAATTTCCAGATTGAATGGGTGTAATTGTTGTATTTCAAATGTTTAGGGGCTAAAAAATAAAAAAGTTTATGGGGCCATTGGAATTATTGCCAAAACAGGTCAAAATTGGGTCAAACCGCATAAAATGGGTCAAACCGACCCAATATCAGTGCAAGTCAAGTCAATTGGATCAATAGAGTCAATCGATTCAAACATGGTCAAACGGGCCAAACCAAGTCAAAACCAGGTCAAATTGACCCAGACCCGGGTCAACTAACCCGTAGACCTGACTGGATGCTCCAACTGTACACCACGCACACGTGGTGGCGCGTGAGGAGCCTATAGGGCTTTTTTTTTAGCTATAAATTTTTCAGGATTTTTCTAATATTAACTTAGAATTATTGGAGCAATTTCATAATTTTTGGATTATGGAAAAATATTAAATACGTTATTTATATGTAATGGTTGGTTTTTTTTTAATATTTTTAATGATGAATATTGCAAGGAAAATTCTGGAAAATTTGTGAAAATTATTTCACTATTAAATACGTTATTACACTATTGGTTGAATATTGCGGCATGTTACACTCTCCTTGTACTATGTTTTATATCTTATACTCTCAACATTGTCATATGTGGTTAACTATGTATATAGTTGGAGTATAAACCTTAGGGAAAAAAGTTATTGTTCACTAGATTAAAATGTAACAGGATTAAATTAAGATTGTCCCAGATAATTGGGTATTATATCACATGAAATCTTAATTATGACAATTAAAATGTAACAGTTATTGAATTAAGTTTGTCAGAGATAATTAAGTGTGTATCTCATGAAATCTTAATATTTATGACAATATTATTTAGTATCATTAGAACAAATTTAGTGAATTGTCAGAATGTTTAATTGCCAAAGCGATGCGTTCATTGAAGCTTGCAAATTTTTTCATTCGATAAATGATACATTATTTTAGTTTTTTACAATATTATTTAGTATTACCCGAATGTTTAATTGCCAAAGCGGTGCATTCATTGAAGCTTGCAAAATTATTCATTTGGTAAATGATACATTCTAAAAAAATCAGATTTGATGCATATAATTTCTTGCCCAAAGGTGGTTATTATTTGTGCTAAAAATTAATGGTTGCATAAGGTTAATTTTTTGAAATACACTGGTCTTCAAAAATTCATTACACTTAAAAGTGATTGATTTTTCATTGACATGTATTTTCCTATTAAGTGGAGGATAAACAGTGGCCTAAAAAGTTTTATCTACCCAAAAGGGGGATAATCTTTTGAATGTCATATGTTCTCATTAGTTATTTTCATAACCTTATGCGTGCAGGGCCCTGATAGCATGTCATTTTTTCTGCTAAAGTGGAGTTAATGATGATGCATCAGGAATCCCTATAAGGTTTAGCTTATCAGGTTTTAAAGCAACTTTGATTGTTTATTGCCTATAATGTTGTGGTTGGGACCCTAATAGCATGTTATTTTCTCTACCCATAGGAGAGTTAATGGTGATGCACCCAATGTCCCTATGTGAAATAGCTTATGAGGATTAAAGCTATTTAATTTTTATTGCCCGTGATACTAATATGTTGCATTGATTTGTTTCAAACAGTTTCAGTGAACAATAATAATGTATGCAGTTTATTCTTATTTATAATTATTCTAAGTTGGGACTACATTTTTTTTATAACTACATAGAGATTATTCTGTAGCTTGGAATGCATGGAGAACTAAGCATTTGATGCATGTAATACTATAAAAATATATATTTGGATTTTGCAAAGAAAAATTTCAATCAAATTGAAAACAAGTAAGGTATAGATTGTTACCTTAAGTCCTTAGAAACCTTTGAGACTTTTAATTTCAAGAGAAATTAAACAAGAGAGTATCTATACTAAGGAAAACGAAAAATTAGGCCAAGAGAGATATATTAGGGTTCTTAGAAAATTTTGATCTCTATTCTAAAATTAATATATCATTTTCTTTATACATGTAGCATTGTAAACAATTCAATAATTGTTTTGGACTTCTTTAAACAATTCTATAATTGTTTTAGTGTTATAAATAATTTCATAATTAGTATGAAATTATTAAACTTCTTTATATAATGACATTGGATTAATATTTAATCATAATTAACAATTTAACTTTTAAATTGTTCATAATTACAAATATAACCCTATGAATCTAATTCAATGATAATAATATAAATGTCTTTATTATCCTTGTTAGGTGCTAGCCAACCTTGGATAATCAATTCTCTTTGCCTATTTTTCTATTCTCCTTAGTTTTTTATGTGTGGCCTCCTATGCTCACTATGGTTTAGCCGTGGGCCCAATATCGTAGTCTATTTCGATATGTTTCGTTATAACTCTTTATGACTGAAACTCCCACTAACTATGGTAGGCATTTAGCAATACTCCATAACCCCTAAGTCACAATGAAGATATACTCCAAGGAACCATTTTATAATTATATGCGCCGTGTAGTTAAGTCCTTCTGTTGTCTAATCCCAATTAAGAATAGATTCATAGTATGTCAAAATCATTATCTTAATCTTATATCAAATTGACAATTAATACATTTCGAACGTGTCATCATGAAACAATTTTTCAGTTAACATTTTATATACCCCGACCGGAGATTTCCATTTCGTATATTGACATTGGTCTGGGAACTTGATATCAAACTATATCAACTCAACGGATCTCGTCTTGACTATCACCTGTCTTCACACACAAATAACGCATGGCTAGATCGGCTTCTTACACATGACATGACTAGTCCCATGTTATACACCATATGAATCACATGTATCTATGTAGAATTCAACCTTGACATCTTAGGTCTAAGGATCAATGATACACTAATACGATCTTACGATGTATCATTGACTACATTCTAAATGTCCATGTGATTCATCGTGAATGGTCATATTCGATAAATAGTCTATAACCATTTATCCATACTAATGCCCTAGTGACATAACTCTTATAATCACCTACACTAATGCCATCACATGATATTCAATTGAGACATTTAGCATGTCTACTATGCAATGTTATTGCCCAATTAACATTATTTACGTAGGGAATGCTTCGATGATTTGATATTCTAAAGATATGTATCATCCGGACATTTCACATGTATTATAAATAATATAAATGAAGTAGTACACATACATCTGAAATCATAACTTTTTCTTCCATTCTTAAAATAATATTTATAAGATATAATGCTTTAAAACCGACAACACGATTGTTTCTTAGGAGATATACTAACATATTCCGATAATAAAGTACCACTGTAGAAAGGCAACATCAACTATCATCGCCACTCTAAAAGTGATCAGAAGCACATTCTTCCTCGTAAAACTGAATTGCATTTATTACTGTGTTATGAATAATGCGCATATTTTGCATATGATAAGCTCCTAGAATAGAAGCGAATGGACTGGGCATTAATGCTACACAGAAAAATCCTTCATTAAATTCCATGTGCACAAACCTGCTATGTACTACGTAGTCTGCTCCTTGGAAATGATAGGTCAATGGTAGATAATCTGTAAAACCTTCTCTGAGGACATAACAAATACTGAACTTTATATTGCTAGTGGGATGTAGTACTACTCTCACAAGATTATAAGAATCGTAGTGTAGACTAAATGCTGTTGTCACCAATTCAAAAACATTGAGCCCACTCGTGGAACTTGTGGTGAGTGTGGTAAATGGATTTCCTGAATCTACGAAAAAACCGGGACCGAGTGTAGCGTCGAAGGAACCTGGTGGTAAATATAAGCGATACCTTCCAACACTTATATCTATAAGATCAAGATAATAAAAATTTCTGCCTACAAAACTTATAAAGGGCGTTGTTGGAATGTTTCCTTCAGGTAATTGAACATCATCCCCAAACCTGAGTATATGAGGATGAACATCGAATGGATAATTTTGATCATAAGGAACAATACAATAAGAGAAAACACCACCAATTGTTTCATGCAATTGGCTCACTAGTGAGGTAGGATCTAAGTCTAATCCCAAGATCCCAGAAATCCTATTAGATGGTTGATTACCGAAGTAGAAATTTACGTTGTCATTCGAGCAGCCGAAGAGAACAGTAAATTCTTCGTCACCATAGTTTCTATTTATAAAATGAAATGATTCCGAGGAGAGATAACCTTTTGTTGGCCCAGAAGAAGTTGGACCAGCACCATATGTTTGACTGTAGACGCAATCGCCATTAACACATCGGAAAACGCTGGATGGTTCATTGTAGTTACAAAGAGGGTGATCACAATTAACTCTATGGTAAGAAGAGGAAGCTTGTGAATTGTATCTGGGATAACTTTGTTGGAAACAATTTATGCAAGGTTCACATTGTGTCCAACTTAAGCTACTACCGGTGTCCACCATTATATACACAGGATGCACTGGGTTTCCAATCATCATATACGCAATATAGAATATAAATTGACGGTCTAGAGCAGTCATAAGCTTGTCATCACTGAATGTTGCATTTTGAGTAAAACGTAAGTTCGTTAGTTTAGCTTTGGCCAGGGTGATATTAACCCTTCTTTCAACTCTTTCGTGGTGAGTAAGGTTAGGTTGATATAAAGGGGACTCACTAGAGTCTATTGGGATGAGCTTAATGCTGAATCCTGAAGATTTTGAAGCTCCAAAACTAAATCTAGAAAATATAACTAGACTAAGAAATACTAAAGCTATTCGTAAGTACTGAGTTGCTTCCATTCTGGATGTTTAAGGAATTAATAGTCCTACCCAAGTATTTATAGTATTGATCACAACAACCTTGTAACTAACTTAAATTAAAAAAGAAAAATCCTTCTAATTAATTCCATCTAATTAGTATAAAACAGAAATTAACTAACAAATGATATAGAATAAGCTAATATTAGAATTTTGCTAAAAAAGAAAATAAGAGTTAATAATTGATGCTAAACATTGATACAACCCATGTTAACAAATGATGTCTAAAAATGTTACGATGCTAACAATGTCTACTTTAAAGATAAAGGGCATGAAACTCTAATCAAATTGATTAAATTTAACAGCTTGAAATCAAGTGATACATAAAATAACTAATTATAACTATTCATTGACAACTGTTGGATTGAAATAAATTAATCACCGTGTGTGTGTGTGTGTGTATATATATATATATACACACACACACACGGTGATTAATTTATTTCAATCCAACAGTTGTCAATGAATAGTTATAAGTAGTTATTTTATGTATCATTGTATCACTTAATTTTAAGCTGTTAAATTGATATTGATGAATGATTATTAATAAATATTCAAATTAATTTAAAAATTGAAATTCCTATAATCCAACCCCTCTATATATAGATATATAAATTCTCGTTGGGGAAGCATTTAACACATTTCATTTTCTTACATTTTGGTAACCATTAAGATTAAGAGTTTTATTTGATACATTTTATTCATCTATTTAATTTGAGGATTCTAATTATATTTTTATAGTGTTTTGGCTAAATAAGATCAGAAGAAGTGAGAAGACCGTTAGAGGATTTTAATACTACCTTGGGTTAAGTTTAAAGTTTTGAATGGAAAATCCCTAAATATTTTTAGAAAATATACTTTCTTTTCCAAGCATGTTTGATTTAAAGCATAATCATTCCATTGAAATTTTATTAAAGACCTTGCTGAGCCAAATTTTATTTTACTAGCTCGAACACCTTCCAATATCAATGAATCTTTATTTTTTTCACATTGATATGATTTAAAAATTTAGTATTTTATTCGAATAAACGTCAATAAATTAAAGTGAGTAAGATTAATTCTATTAATAGCCACTAAAGGTTAATAATAATATTAATGAAGTCAGTTTGTGAAATTTTAATTGACTTGGGAATAACGTTGTTATAGAAATGTTAGAAGTTTTAGACTTAAAAGATTATTTTCCCATAATCAATATATTTTTAAGAATGATGAAGCCAATATATTTTCCCTTGGACCACGTTAAAGCCAGCAAGCACTTAAGATTGTTAAAAATTCAAGCACTTTCTAACTTGATTTTGCCTTGGGATAATTGAAGAATTACGAAAAAAATAAAGAAAATTGAAAAGAATTTTGAGAGAAAAAAATCTAGAGCCACGTTAACAGGTCTGAGCGGGATTACAAATACTGTAGGGTAAAACATATAATTTTACAGAATTACAAGAAAGTCCAACATCTTCTGAAACTTAATACATTGGTCCTTTGCAATTACAATAAATTCCAATAGCTTCTGAAACTTAACACATTGATCATCCATCAAATTATGTGCACTGATTTTCTAGAAGATTCATCAACTGCACACACCTCCAATTGTTATTAAATTTTCTTTAAAAAAAAAAAAAAATCACTGCCTATTTCCACAAAATAGTTAAGCAGGGAAAAATAATGTAACTTTCAACTTGTCTCCTAACATCTTAAACATGTTTCCAGGCAGTGCTTTGGTCAAACCATCTACTATTTTATATTCAGTAGCTCCATACTCAACACTCAACTTTTTTTCTACAACCATCCCTGACATAGTGCACATCAATATCAATATGCTTAGTCCTAGCATGAAAAACAAGATTTGAGGAGAATGCTTTTGCACTCATATTGTCACACCACAAAACATAAGTATTATTAACTTCAATCCCAAGTTCTTTAAACAAATGTTGAATCCACACAATCTCTGTTGCAACTTGACAGTGAGATTTGTATTTTGCTTCTCTGGAAGATAAAGACACCAATTTTTGCTTACTTGAACTCCATTGAACTAGATTCCCACCAAGAAAACACTGTAGCCACTAGTAGATTTCCTATCAATTATATCACTAGCCCAATCTGCATTAGCATGACCTTCAATGATAAAATGCTAACTTCTTTTGGACAGAAGACCATGTTGTAAGGTGCCCTTAACATACTTTAAAAATCTTTTGCAAGCAATCCAATTAGCTATAGTAGGAGCTTGAAGAAATTGACATTGCAAAAGCCAAAACAGGCCTGGATAAAGTGAGATATTGCAAACGACCAATAATGCTTCTGTATAATGTTGGTTGATGAAAATCTCAATGTACTCTTCTCCAAGTTTAGTACCAATTGCCATAGGTGTAGTGCAAGGTTTAGACTCTGCCATTTCGACCTTTCGTAGCAACTCTTGTGCATATTTATTTATTCAAGTCTTTTATTTGGATAATGGAAGTGAAGAAAATGTAGTTATTGAAGATGGAAAGGAAAATTCACTCATCAAACTTCCTAAGTTGAAAGTACTAAGACTATATGGACTTGCAATCATCATTAGTTTCTGCCCAGAAAATTTCTACATTCCCATTCCCAATCCATTAGTAAGCTAGAGACCCAGATTGGTCAAATAGCCGAAGCAGTCAATAGGAGGGAACAAGGCCAATTGCCTATTCAAGTCATATGTAACCCTAGTGATTCTTCTCAGCAGAGAGGGTTTTCCGAACAAGCTAAGGCTATGACGACTCTTCGGAGCGGCCGAGAGCTAATTAGGCCTGAGAGGGAAGTAAAAGTCCAGGGTAGAGAAAAGGAAAGTCTAGGTAGGGACCAAGCCAAAGAGAGTGAGCGCGAGTCTCTTGTAGAGTCAAGTGTTCAGAGATCGGGTAAGGAGAAAGTTGGGGAGAATGAACCATCCCCTGCATCGTACATACCGAAAGCACCCTTTCCTCAATGCTTAGAGCCCCCAAATGTCCCCACTACTAGGAAAAACGCTAGGATGGATGAAATGATTGAGTTGTTTAAGCAAGTGCAGATTAACATTCCACTCTTAGATGCCATTAAGCAAGTACCTGCTTATGCCAAATTCCTCAAAGACTTGTGCACGCAAAAGAGGAAAATGAAATCTCACACACCTAAGACTGTACATTTACCGAAAAATGTAAGTGTGGTTGTCTCAAACCGCATTCCCCCTAAGTTAAAGGATCCTGGAGCTCCTATTATTTCTTGTGTGATAGGTAATGTCACGATTGATAGAGCACTCTTAGACTTAGGGGCGAGCGTGAACTTATTACCCACTTCCGTGTATGAACAGTTTAACTTAGGTGAGCTCAAGTCGACTGAAGTCATACTACAGTTAGCTGACCGATCGGTCAAAATGCCTAGGGGCTTAATTGAGGACGTGTTAGTTAAGGTTGAGGAACTATATTTTCCGGTGGATTTTCTTGTCTTAGACATGGAGTATACGAGCAGTGGAAGTATGCCACCGATTATTTTAGGGAGACCTTTTCTAGCAACGGCAAATGCTTGCATTAACTGTAGATCTGGAGAGATGGAAGTGTCTTTTGGGAATAGGAAATTGAGACTTAATGTGTTTAATGCTGGGTTAGGACCAATGCGTGAGGACGATAACGAGTGTTTCATGGTTGATGCTATTGACAGTCTAGTGGAGGCTCACGCCCCACAGATGTTATGTGATGATGCAATTTACACTCTTATGAATCCATTTGTTGAGGAGATATCTAGCTTGAGTGTCGTGTCTGAGATTCAGGAGGTTAGTGCGTATATAGCTAGGTCGCCCACTCTAGAGCGTCGACCTTGGAACATCAAGTATGAAACCTTACCACCTTTGTCTAAGACGACACAACCGAGGTCCATTGAGTCTCCACCAGTCTTAGAGTTGAAAGCCTTGCCTGATACTCTAAAGTATGTTTTCCTAGGACCCAACAAGACCTTACCCGTGATCATTGCCGCCAACTTAGATAGTGAGCAAGAGGAGAGATTAGTGGCGGTCTTGATAGCACATAAGGAAGCAATCGGTTGGTCGGTAGCCGATTTGCGAGGGATTAGCCCTTCTTTGTGCATGCATCGCATATTTTGTGAGGAGAATGCTAAACCGGTGCATGAAGCTCAAAGAAGGTTAAACCCGAACATGAAGGAGGTAGTGAAGAAAGAGGTGATCAAATGGCTTGATGCGGGTATCATTTACCCTATATCCGACAGCCAATGGGTGAGTCCAACCCATGTTGTACCTAAGAAGAGTGGCCTCACTGTTGTTGAAAATGAAAAAGGTGAGCGAATTCCTACCCGTACTCCCACAGGATGGAGAGTTTGCATTGACTATAGGAAGCTCAACCTAGCCACTAGGAAAGATCATTTCCCGCTCCCATTTATTGACCAAATCCTAGAAAAACTCGCAGGGCAAGCTTTCTATTGTTTTCTGGATGGCTATTCCGGATATAACCAAGTACCAGTTGCCCCCGAAGACCAGGAAAAGACCACGTTTACATGTCCTTTTGGCACGTTTGCCTTTCGTCGCATGCCCTTCGGGTTGTGCAATGCACCGGCAACGTTTCAAAGGTGCATGTTATCGATATTTTCTGACATGGTGGGTCAATTCCTTGAAGTCTTCATGGATGATTTTTCTGTGTTTGGTACATCTTTTGATGATTGTCTCGAAAAACTTGAGTTGGTGTTAAAACGTTGCAAAGAGACAAATCTTGTTCTTAGTTGGGAAAAGAGCCATTTCATGGTTCAAGAGGGAATTGTCTTAGGTCATGTAGTTTCCAAGGAGGGGATATCAGTGGATAAGGCAAAGGTAGAGTTGATTTCTCAACTACCACCGCCTTCGTCTGTCAAACAAATTAGATCTTTCTTAGGCTATGTAGGATTTTATAGGCGTTTCATCCAGAATTTTAGCAAGATCTCCAAGCCTTTGTGTGATTTGCTTGCTAAAGATGTGCCATTTGTTTTTGATGACTCTTGTATGATTGCCTTTACCATTTTGAAGGAAGCGTTGACCACAGCACCCATCATGCAACCTCCTGATTGGAGCCTACCTTTTGAAGTGATGTGTGACGTGTCGAACTATGCCATTAGTGTAGTCCTTGGCCAACGGGGGAATAAAAAGCCCATTGTGATCTACTATGTCTGATGCTCAATGTAATTACACCACTACGGAGAAAGAGTTGCTTGCAGTAGTGTTTTCCCTTGATAAGTTCCAGTCTTATCTTCTTGGGTCTAGGATAGTTGTCTTTACAGACCACGTTGCAGTTAGGTATTTGTTAGCCAAGAAAGACATTAAGCCTAGACTAATTCGATGGATTTTGCTGTTGCAAGAGATTGATATAGAAATCAAAGATAAAAAGGGTAGTGATAATGTGGTCGTCGACCACTTGTCTAGACTCTTTACAGAGTATGTCCCTGGTCAATATTTGAATGAATCTTTCCCAGATGAGCAACTGTTTGCGATATCCCAATGCAATGCACCTTAGTATGCCCATATAGTCAATTACTTGGCCGTAGGACAATTACCATTAGGGTGGACCAAAACTCAAAAAGATAATTTCTTTGCAACCATCAAGCATTATTTTTGGGAAGACCCAGACCTTTTCAGGGTGTGTACAGACCAGATAGTTAGGAGATGTGTTCCCGACCATGAGTTTAGTAGTATACTTGCATTTTGTCATTCTTATGCTTATGGTGGTCATTATAGTGGCAAGAGGACCGCTTTAAAGGTCCTCCAGTGTGGTTTCTATTGGCCCTCTCTTTTTCGTGATGCATTCTTTTATTGTCGTGCTTGTACTTCATGTCAAAAAGTAGGGCATATTGGTAGACGAGATATGATGCCCTTGAATCCTATTTTGATTGCAGAAGTGTTTGATGTGTGGGGTATTGATTTCATGGGTCCATTTCCTTCATCTTTTGGCTTTGAATATATCTTGCTTGCAGTAGATTATGTGTCTAAATGGGTAGAAGCCCTTGCCACTAGCACCAATGATCATAAGGTGGTCATCAACTTTGTTCAATCGTACATCTTTAGCCATTTCGGTCATCCGCGCGCCATCATCAGTGATGATGGCTCACATTTCACCAATAGGCACTTTGGCTCACTATTGAAAAAGTACTCAATCACCTATCGAGTTGTCACACCTTATCACCCTCAAACTAGTGGACAAGTGGAACACGCTAATAGAGAAATTAAGACTATCTTAGAGAAAATGGTACGGCCCGATCGTAAGGATTGATCAATGCATCTGAATGATGCACTTTGGGCCTATCGAATCGCATATCATACCCCTATTGGTATGTCCCCTTATCGGTTAGTTTTTGGGAAAGCATGCCATTTATCTGTAGAACTTGAACATAGAGCATATTGGGCCACAAAGAAATTCAATTTTGATATGACCACGGCCGATGACCATAGGAAACTCCAACTTTCGGAGTTAGATGAGCTAAGACACGAAGCTTATGAGAACTCTTGCATCTCTAAAGAGAAAACTAAAGCTTTTCACGATAAACACATTGTTAGGAAGTCATTCTCTCCTAATCAAAAAGTGTGGCTCTTTAACTTTAAGCTTCGCCTCTTTCCGGGGAAGCTTCGGTCACGATGGGATGACCCTTTTATTGTTCTTAATGTTTTCCCTCACAGAGCTGTTGAAATCCAAAACCCAAAAAGGGGACAAGTTTTTAAGGTGAATGGCCAAAGACTTAAACCTTATGTCGATAGCATTAATGATGGAGAGGTGATTGAGGAGTGTTCTTTATTATAACCACATTAGCCATGTCAATGCACTGAGTCTAGCTGAAGACTTAAAACTTAGTGCTAGTGGGAGGCAACCCACCTTTTTAAATATGTTTTTATCGCTTTTATGTTTTTGTTGTTTTTGTCTTTGTAGGAATTGTCATGTTTGGAAACTCATTAACTAGTCCAAGGCAATGCTTACACATGCCCCATAAAGTCCGTTGGTGACAACCCCACCATTGTTCCTCAAGTTGTATCTCTCCACCTTATATGCTGTTATTGTTAGATTTCTTGTTTCTCATATATGTTGTATTATTTTTATGTTATTGATCATATTGCCATTTGAGATCATTTGATGCTAAGTTGGGGAGGATGTTTGTAGTTGTGGGTCATTGAGGATAATGACATTTTAAGTTGGGGAGTGTTGATTGATTTTTATTTTGTGGAGTATGTTGTTGATCATATTTTTGTGAAGTGTTGTTCATGATGTTTTTTTGTAGAGATTGTGATATTTTTGTGAAGTATTGTTGATGATGCTTTTGTGGAGATTGTGCTTAAATTTTTGTGGCATGATGATGTTTTTGTGAAAATATGTTGAATCTTATTCTTGTAAGTTCAAAAGTGGTTAAAGTGAACTAAAGTGAGTTATTTTTAAAAATTTTCATGAATTCATGCATAATCATCATTTTAGAAGCAATTGAGATGCTAGTTGAAAGGTTTTGTGAGGTTTTTGAAAAAAATTTGTGCAACATGGTTTTAAACATTGAACTATTGGCTTTGTTTTGTGCTAGGTTTGTCCATAATTGTGGTTAGACACTGCTTTGTGTAAATGTCATGTTTTAGTATTTATGCAAGTCTTCCACATACTTTACATGCCCATGGAGCAAAGTTTCATTTATTATCTTGCGTGTGTTAAAAGTGCTTAAATGTTGCTTGATGATTTGGTTTTGATTTGTAGCTTAGTTGACTCGAGTGAGTACGCCCGAGGGGTGTTTTACACCTAATCCCCTAAAGCTATCTAGCTTGGGAGCGGTTGGTCTAAAGCTCGTTACATGGGTCCTCTAGAAAGCTTAAGAAGTCATTACATAGATCATGAGTTAAAAAAAAAAAAATAAAAATAAAAAATAAAGTCTTGACTTGTAGCCTAGTTGGTTCGGGTGAGTAAGTTCGAGGAGTATTCTACACTTAGTGCCCTATAACCATCTGGTTTGGGAGTCATTGACCTAAAGCCCGTTACATGGACCTTCTAGAAAGCTTAAGAAGTTAAGATAAGAAAAAAAAAGTGATGAATGAAAAAGAAATTATATGTCAAAATCTTGTGTGGAAAATGAGCAGTATGTTGCATGTACATAAGTTGGGGAGTTTCGCATGACATTTTAACATTGTGATATGAATATGAAATGTGTGTTTGAGAAGCTTGAATGGAGATAGGCAAATCTTGATAGAAACTTTAGTTCTTTATTTAGGATTGTGTTATTTACTTGTTATGTTCAAATTCTTCACTTTACCTTTTGATGAATGTCTTGGTTGTTGATGAATATGGTTGTGTATGGTTTTGTGAGAATGTTGAAAGAGTTTTTTTAACTTTACTCGAGGACGAGCAAAGAGTAAGTTGGGGAGTGTGTTAGAGTCATGAAAGTGACTCTATTTTGGTGATAAAAATACCCCATGTGTGATTAAATTGAAGTATATTGAGACAATTAAACAATTTATGAATTTATTCACGAAAATCGCTTCCTAATATTTTTCTTATGAATTTAACGTGTTTGGAATGATTTTAGAAAGTATATGAGTTGATATTAGGTTGTGGCTTATGGATTAAGGGTGATTTTGTCTCATTTATGCTGTTTAGGGGGTAAAATGTCATATTTTAAGGGGCTGATTTTGTCACTTTTCAATTGTGTAGGGACCAAAGTGATATTTTATAATTTGTTCTATAAAAGAAAACAAAAGTTCGCGCGAAAAGGGAGGCGCTGTTCATCCATCTTTTCCGGCGATGCTTCATCTTCCATTCTGGAGACCTCCGGCAACTCTTTGGCTTCCTCGTGCACAGATCGTCGTCATCCCCATCGTCCCGAACCACCACCGCAAATCACGGAATGCAACCGCGACGCTTCGTCTTCCACCACCGTGACGTTTCATCTTCCAGAGCAATTTTGGCCATTTTTCAGCGACTTTTCAGCTCCCCAAGAGTCGATCTTCCTTCCCCACGGCCAGATCTACACTTCCCTAGCTTCAGCCGCCGTAAAAAACACCGAAATCCACCAAATAGCTGTCGCGTCTCTTCATCTTCTAGCCCAGATCTTGCTCATTTCTGGCGACTTCTCACCACCCTAGGACCTGATCTGAACTCCCCATCACCAGAGCTTTCTATCACTACCTTCGGATCCCATTTCCGCCACCGTTTTTCGAAAGACCCGCCGAAAAATTAACGTTTTCCGGCGAGTGTGGCTGTTCGTATTCTGAGCTGTCCATTGGTCTTTTTCGCCCCTTCTTCGTATCATATCGCTGTCGGTTACCTCCTCTCCGCCATGATCAGCTCCATTTCCACTGTTTCAGTCTCCGTCGTCACCACCATGAGCGGCTAATCTCCCGGTTGTCTGTTACGGCATAGGCGAGATCGAGATTGACTCCACGACTCTCCTCATCAACTCTCGACTAGTTGGATGAGCCCGATTGTAGGAGATTTGGTAGTATTGTGTTTTGAATTATATTTGTTTTCATTTCATGTTTGATTTTGATACTTTAATATGATTTGAGCATAATTTGTGATGAATATTGTTGTCCATTGTGATTTAATGTTTTCATAGAACTTGCTGAATGATAAACGTTGGTTTGAAATAATTGAATGACGAATATTACTTTTCATTACTTCGCATCGATTGTAATTGAGTTGTGTTCGGATTTAATTTCATTTCTACTGTTGTTGCGTTTATTGTGAAGTTGGTTGATTGGAAGATACAAGTTGATAGGTTGTACTTATTAACATTGTACCAACTAGTGGTATTGTCGTGTAGCATTTATCGGCATTCAATGATAGTCTTTAACCAATCGAACTTGAGTGATCGGGTGAGACAGGATAGATTATACCTAGAGTGTCGAGAAGCTATTTCATTGATTTACCTTGCCTTGTAGGTTTAAGGGATCGTAGAGGGTGGAGGAGAATTGTGTGAGTCAGTCTCGTGTCGAACCAAAACCGTAACGACAACATTTTTATTATAAAGTCTTTATTAGTTTTAATTTCACTTTTTCATTATTTGCATTTAGTTTCATTAATCAATTGCCAATTTCATTTCCGCTACTCAAAATACATTAGGTCGTTAGTCTTGCTCTCTGTGGATTCGACCCTGCTTACCGCTAACTACGGTATTTAGGTTTAATTTTGTGACTGTGACGACTGGTCCAATAGTGTCCCAGGTCGAGAGAGAGTACTTCAGCCAAGTAAAGGTGTACTAAGCCGAAAGAGGGTGCAAGGTGTATCCTATGTGCTCACTTGGTTAATCGAGTCGAGTGGGAACTTGATATACCCCGTACAGTTTATATACCTCGGTTGGAGATTTCCTTTTTGTATATTGACATTTGTCTGGGAACTTGTTATTAAACTATATCAACTCAACGGATCTCGTCTTGGCTATCACCTGTCTTCACACATAAATAAACCATGGCTAGATTGGCTTTTTACACATAACATGACTAGTCTCATGTTTATACATCATATGAATCACATACATCTATGCGGAATTCAACCTTGACATCTCAGGTCTAAGGATCAATGATACACTAATACGATCCTACGATTTATCATTAACTACATTCTAAATGTCCATGTGATTCATCGTAAATTGTCATATTCGATAAAAATCTCCTAATTGTTTATCTATGCTAATGCCTTAGTGACATAACTCTTATAATCACCCACATAATACGATCACATGATATTCAATAGAGACATTGAACATGTCTACTATGCAATGTTATTGCCCAATTAACATTACTTACATAGGAAATGCTTCGATAATTTGATCTTCTAAATATCTGTATCATCTAGAAATTTCACATGCATTATAAATAATATAAATGAAGCAGCAAACATAAAATAATATTTATAAGATATAATGTTTGAAACCAACAATACGATTGATTCTTAGGAGATACACTAACATATTCCTATATATAGAGTATCACTATATAAAGGTAACAGCAACCATCATCACGACTCTAAAAGTGATCAAAAGCACATTCTTCTTGGTAAAACTGAATTGCATTGATTACTCTGTTATGAATAATGTGCATATTTTGCATATGATAGGCTCCTAGAATAGAAGCGAATGGATCGGGCATTAATGCTACACAGAAAAATTCTCCATTATATTGAATGCACAAACCTGCTATGTACTACACAGTTTGCCCCTCGGAAATGATAGGTCAATGGTAGAAAATCTCTAAAATCTTGTCTGTGCATATAACAAAGTTTTAACGGTATACTTCTTATGCGAGGCACTCTCACGAGATTATAAGAATCATAGTATAGACTAAATGCTGTTGTCACCAGTTCAAAAATATTGAGCCCCTGCATGGCACTTGTGGTGAGTGTGGTAAATGGATTTCCTGAATCTATGATGAAACCGTGACCAAGTGTAGCGTCGAAGGAACCTGGTGGTAAATATAAGCGATAATTTCCAACACTTATATCTATAAGATCAAGATAATAAACACTACTTCTGCCTACAAAACTTACAAAGGGCATTGTTGGAATGTTTCCTTCAGGTAATTGAACATCATCCCCAAACCTGAGTATATGAGGATGAACATCGAATGGATAATTTTGATCATAAGGAACAATACAATAAGAGAAAACACCACCAATGGTTTCATGCAATTGGCTCGCTAGTGAGGTAGGATCTAAGTCTAATCCCAAGATCCCGGAAATCCTATTGGATGGTTGATTACCGAAGTAGAAATTTACGTTGTCATTCGAGCAGCCGAAGAGAACAATAAATTCTTCAACTTCAAAGTTTCTATTTATAAAATGAAATGATTCTAAGGAGAGATAACCTTTTGTTGGCCCAGAAGGACTTGGAGCATCACCATATGTTTGACTATAGACGCAATCGCCATTAACACATCGAAAAGCGCTGGATGGTTCATTGTAGTTACAAAGAGGGTGATCACAATTAACTCTATGGTAAGAAGAGGAAGCTTGTGAATTGTATATGGCATAATTTTTTTGGAAACAATTTATGCAAGGTTCACATTGTCTCCAACTTAAGCCACTACCAGTGTCCACCACTAAATACACAGAATGCACTGGGTGTCCAATCATCATATACGCAGTATAGAATATATATTGACGGTCTAGAGCAGCCAAAAGCTTGTCATCACCGAATGTTGCATTTTGAGTAAAACGCAATTTCGTTATTTAGCTTTGGCCAGGGTGATATTAACCCTATTTTTGACACTTTCGTGGTGAGCAACGTTAGGTTGATATAAAGGGGACTCACGAGAGTCTATTGGGATGAGCTTAATGCTGACTCCTTTTGATTTTGAAGCTCCAAAACTAAGTGTAGAAAATATAATTAGACTAAGAAGTATTAAGTCGCTTCCATTTCGGATGCTCCAGGAATTAATAGTCCCACCCAAGGACTTATAGTATTGGTCACAACAACCTTATAACTAACTTGAAAAAAAGAAAAAAAATATTTCTAATTAATTCCATCTAATTAGTATAAAACAGAAATTAACTAATAATTGATATAGAATAAGATAATATTAGAATTTTGCTAAAAAGGAAAAAAAGAGTTAATAATTGATGTTAAACATTGATACAACCCATGTTAACAAATGATGTCTAAAAATGTTACGATGCTAACAATGTCTACTTTAAAGACAAAGGGCATGAAGCTTTAATCAAATTGATTAAATTTAATAGCTTAAAATCAAGTGATAAAGTGATACATAAAATAACTACTTATAACAATTCATTTACAACTGTTAGATTGAAATAAATAATATAGGATATCCTAACTCGGCCAAATTGATTGAGCCGAGTGGAGAAAGTTTGTGGGGAGGTATCCTGACTCGACCAACTTGAGGGAGCCAGTGGGGTCTTACGAAACTTGTGGAAGTGTAACTATGTTGTTTGGGCATAGCCCAGTGAGTATTTCACCTCAACTGAAGACGTAGGCCGAGCCAAGAAAGAATGGACGGTGGGGATGAGTATGAGCGCGCCAGGACTTACATCTTGATGCCTGATGGAGAGTCTTGAAGGCACTGTACGAAGCAGTTTGGACCCTGTTGAAGAATACGCAGTGATAGCGATTGCACATGAGTGACCTCTATTATTGATAGCGATATGCTTTTACTTCTAAATCATGGTTATCATGGTCATTCAGTTTAACTCTCCATTAGATTCATCTCCTGTCGTAAGCGCTAAGAGGGCATAGAAGGAAACACCATCCTTTCTTGGGTAAGTCATGACTAATATGATTCTCCATCAAAGTTGCTAGAAAACAAGTCATCATCTTTTGCCCAGCTTGTAGCAGAATACACTGTGAGATCAAATTCTAGTTTTGAGAAGTAAACCGGAATAAACTGGAAGTTGAAGGCCGAACCTTAATAAAACACATAGTTCTGCAGAGTTTCTTGATTATGATGAAAAAAAATCGTGTTAAATTTGATTATACTGTAATTACAAAAAAAAAAAAAAAAAAAAAAAAAAAAAAAAAAAAAAAAAAAAAAAAAAAAAAAAAAAAAAAAAAAAAAAAAAGTATTGTGAGATCTTGGAGATCAAGTTAGAATTTGTGAATATACTGTCAGGGATGTTTTATTACAGATTTTGATATTATAATCTACTTGAATATATAGCTGAGTATTTTACATTTTAGTTTCTGTTAAGTGTGTCAGATTGTATGGTGGCGGTGTTTATAGCTGTAGTTTCTGGTAGATGCAATATCAGTTTAGGCAGTCTTGACCTTGAACATAATGTTCCTATCAAAACAGCCGGTATTGGTTAAAGGTGAAAGACCGCTGAATTTTGAACTTCTGCGTTGAAAAGTCCATGACAAGAACCTGAACCATTTAACAATGAAGTTCTATATCTTTTTAAGTTTTTTCAAATCCTCTTTGTCAGATGAAACATAATGTTACTACCAAATCAGCCAGTATTAGAGGACTATTTGGAAAGCCAACAAAAGTGAAGCTCAAAACATATAGGTTAGAGATATGTAGCTTCCAGTGTTTCTGAAGCAAAAAAATGAATTTTTTAACCAACCTCGATTACTTCATTTTCAACAAAGAATAAATATCAAGTTTTTTTCTCAAGTGTTTGTTTTTCTCTTCATTTTTGTCTATAGTACCTATCACTTAGCACATAATATTAAATACTAACAGTGACATTATGACAACCAAGTTTGAATTCAATATTCTGGTAAATGGCTTCTATAATTAAGAAAAGAGAAAGAAACCGTATATTCTTATGAACAAAATATAATAGATATACAAATTGACGTTGTTTACAATCATTGATGTTATTTTGATTTCACAAGAAGAGATGGGTTGGTTCGTCTGGTCTTCTCAACTTTTCTGTCTACTGTTATTGCTAATTCATTCTCCGAGTTATGCAAATCTGTGCTCTCATGACCAAAGTTCTGCACTTCTCAAGTTTAAGCAACTCTTTTCGTTTGATGAAAATTCTTCCGATTGTGATGAAATGATGAAATATCCGAAAATGATGTTTTGGAAAAAAAAATAGTGATTGTTGCTCATGGGACGGGGTCACATGTTATACTGTAACAGGTAATGTGATTGGCCTCAACCTTAATTGTAGCTGGCTTTGGGGTGAAATCCCTTCCAAGAGTAGCCTCTTTCTTCTTGCTCACTTGCAGAGCTTTAACCTTGCTAACAATGACTTCAAAGGTTCTCTGATTCCTTCTGGCTTTAGTCGACTCCCAAGTTTGGTACTCCTTAACCTCTCTTACTCCTACTTTTCAGGTCAAATTCCATTGGAAATCTCTCACTTGTCTAAATTAGTTTCACTTGACCTCTCTCTCAATTATAAGCTGAGATTTGAAACACTTGTTTTGGAAGGGCTAGTTCAATATTTGACAGAGTTAAAAGAGCTTGTTCTTGATCAAGTAAATATGTCAAGCATAGCAGCAGTTTCCTTGACAAGTCTATCCTCTTCTTTGATATCTCTAAGTCTCAGTGGTTGCAAACTGCAAGGAAAGTTTCCGGAAAAACTCTTCCGCTTACCAAATCTAGAGACACTTGTTTTAGAGGATAACCCCTCTTTGAGAATTGTTTTTCCGAAGGTTAATTGGAGCAGTCCCCTCAAGGTTTTGATGGTTGATTCCACGATGTCAGAAGGAGAATTACCTGATTCAATTGGCGATTTGAAATCCTTGATGTTTCTGGGTCTTGCAAAATGCATTTTTATAGGACCAATTCCTGAAGTACTTGGTAAGCTTACCCAACTTACTATGTTTTGCTTCTCAAATAACAATTTCATTGGTCATTGATGATATAGGTGATGACCTGCTAGAAATGGGACAACTTCCTGTTGGATATTCAAACCAGTTTTTGGAGACAAAGTTTCAGCTTCTGTTTTTGTTATGATAGCAATGGTTATGGAGCAGATATCAGGCCACTCATGTGAAGACTTTATGTAATGTTTTGTTGAGACTTGACTTGGGTTTGTGCATATTTTTTGCTAAAAGTGTATTTGTAATATTTTATTTTTACTGCAGTAGGTAAAACAATGACTAAGTTTGTATATACATTGCTCTGTTCAATGAAAGAAATGCAAAAAGAAAAATCCCTAAAATCTTGCCGTCTCCTTCATTTTCAATCTCTCATTTTTACCCTGAAATTTTCTTCCTTGAACCAACAGATGGTATCAGAGCAATATTGATCTTAAGGGCCTGATAACCTCATCTCTTCTTCTCCATTTTCTCAACCCCTGTTACGTAGAAATCAACTTCAAGTATCACACGAACTGACTAAATGGCACAACCCTCAACCTCTCTTTCTCCTCCAACCTTCAATGGGGAGCAATATCACGTTTGGGCTGTCAAAATGAAAACGTTCTTGAGAGGACAAGGATTATGGCAGTATGTTGAAGAGAATAGACAACCACCCGTACTAGGGCCAAACCCCACCTTGAACCAGATTAGATTACACGATGAAGAAGCTGTTAGACCGGTCGTCACGGTCACAAAATTAAACCTAACTACCGTAGTTAGCGGTAAGCAGGGTCGAATCCACAGAGAGCAAGACTAATGACCTAATGTATATTTGAGTTAACGAAAAAGAAATTGGCAAAATGATTGATTAAAACTAAGGAAACTAATTACTTGCAGGAAATTAAAAGCATTAAATAAATTGCTAACTAAAACACAATATTAAAAGCGTTGTCGCTACGGGTTCGGTTTGACTCAAGACCAACTCTCACAATTCCTCTCCTCGCTCTTCAATTTCCTAATCCTACAAGGCTAGGCAAATCAATAGAAATATCTCCCGGCAATCTAGGCATAATCTATCCTGTCTCCCCGTCGTCTTAGTTACAGATCGATTGGTTAAAGACTATCATTGACTAACCGAAAAATGCTAAACCCTTAAACACCACTAGTTGGTACAATGTTAACAAGTACAACCTATCAACCTGTATCATCCAATCAACTAATTACACAATAAATGCATTCCTAGTAGAGATGACATTAAACGCTACTACAACTTGATTGCAATCAGTACCGAAGCAATTTAAAGTCATAATCAACATTCAATAATCTCAAACCGACATTCAATTATGCGAAAAGTTATATATCAATAAACGTTCTCAATGGACATTATCAATTCAACACGTCGAGTATCAGAATAATATTAAAGTATCGCAAACAAACTGAAACGAAAACAAATATAATCTGAATACAAGAAACTTAACCAAATATCCAACATTCGGGCTCATCCAACTAGTCGAGAGCTGATGAGGAGATCAGTGGAGTCAATCTCGATCTCGCCTACACCGTAACGGACAACCGAGAACTCAGCCGCTCATGGTGGTGATGACGGAGGCTGAAACAGTGGAAACGGAGCTGATCATGGAGAAGAGGAGGTAACCGACAGCGATATGATGCGAAGAAGGGCCGAAAATGACCAACGGACAGCCCGGAATACGAACAGCCGCGGTTCGCCGGAAAACGTTAATTTTCTGGCGGGTCTCCGGAAAACGGTGGCGGAAATGGGATCCGAAGGTACCGATGGAAAGCGCTGGTGATGGGGAGTTCAGATCAGGTCCTGGGGAGGTGAGAAGTCGCCGAAAATGAGCAGGATCTGGCCTGGAAGATGAAGAGTCGCGGCGACTAAATCGCAGATTCTGGCGGTTTTCGCGGCGGCTGAAGCTAGGGAAGTGTAGATCCGGCTGTAGGGAAGGGAGATCTACCCTTGGGGAGCTAGAACGTCACTGAAAAACGGCCAAAACTGGTCGAGAAGACGAAGAGTCGCGGTGGTGGAAGATGAAACGTCGCGGTTGCTTCCGTGATTCGCGGTGGTGGTGCGTGATTTGCGGTGCTGACGGTGGCTGGTGAATGGCGGTGCACCGGGAAGATGAATCGTCGTTGGAGCTCGCCGGAAAATTGGGTGAACAGCTCCCCTGGACGCGATCTGCATTTTTTCTTTTATAGAACATATTGCAAAATTTTAGTTTAGTCCCTATACAATTAAAAAGTGACAAAATCAGCCCCTTAAAACATGACATTTTACCCCCTAAATAGCATAAATGAGACAAAATCACCCTTAATCCATAAACTACAACCTAATATCAACTCATATACTTTCCAAAATCATTCCAAACACGTTAAATTCATAAGAAAAATATTAGGAAGCGATTTTCGTGAATAAATTCATAAATTCTTTAATTGTCTCAATATACTTCAATTTAATCACAAATGGGGTATTTTTATCACCAAAATAGAGTCACTTTTATGACTCTAACAGAAGCCACCAAATCACCTAGAGCCTTGTCCCATATCCATGCAGCAGTGACTGAGCAAGTGTTCACTAGAATCATGGCATATGAGTCAGCCAAGGAAGCATGGGATAAACTCAAAGAAGAGTTCGGTGGCAGTGATACAACAAAGGGTATGCAGGTGCTAAACTTGATGAGGGAGTTTGAGATGCTGAAAATGCAGGAGTCTGAAACCGTAAAAAAGTATGTGGATAGGTTGATGAATGTGGTAAACAAAATCAGATTAATGGGATAGGAGATGACAGATAAAATGATAGTTGAAAAGGTTCTTGTTAGCCTACCCGAAAGGTTTGAATCTAAGATATCCTCACTTGAGGATTCTAAAGATTTGACACAAATCACGCTCACTGATTTGGTGTATGCCCTGTAAGCTCAAGAACAAAGGAGATTGTTGAGGCAAGAGGAATCTAGTGAGGGTGCAATGGTGGTTGGATTCAAAGGCAAACCAGGCTAGGGTGGAAGCAAGAGACCCGCGGGAGAAAAGAAAGGAAAGGAGAGAATGGGAAACCAGTGGAATAAACCAAGTAGAGGGAAAGAGTTTCCACCATGTGCTCACTGCAAGAAGAAGGGGCATAGTGAAAAGAGGTGCTGTTTTAGGCCTAATGTTCAGTGTAGATCATGCAAGCAATATGGTCACATTGAAAAGGTATGCAAAAGCAAACCATCTCAGTCAACATAGCAAGCACAAATTGTGGAGGACCAACAGCCAAACTCAGATCCAGAGCAGTTGTTTGCGGCCTCATGCAGTGTTGTTCAAGCTCAAAATGATGATTGGCTGATAGATAGTGGGTACACAAATCACATGATAGCAAACTTGGAAGACTTTGTGAATTTGGACAAGTCTTACCATTCCAAGGTTAAGGTTGGAAATGGGGAATTTGTGGCTGTGAAAGGGAAAGGAGATATTGTTGTGCAAACAAAATCAAGTATCAAACTCATTCCCAATGTCTGTATGTGCCTAGTTTAAGTCATAACCTTTTCAGTGTTGGACAAATGATGGAGAGGAAGTATGCCCTGCACTTCCAGGATCAGTTTTGCACAATCCTGGACAGTGAAGGGAATGAATTGATGAAGGTTAGGATGATGGGAAAAAGCTTTCCCATTAGGTTGAACAAACCAGATTTAGAAGCATATGTTGTGGAGGTAAATGAGACTGAATTGTGGCATAAGAGACTAGGCCACTTAAATTACCATAGTTTTAAGGAAACTCAAACCAAAGAGCTGGTCTATGACCTGCCCAAAGTTGCTAGAAACAAAACCATTTGTGCTACTTGTCAACTTGGCAAGATGAGCAGATTACCCTTCCCTGTAAACAAGGCCTGGAGAGCTAGTGAGAGGCTGCAACATATCCACACGGATGTGTATGGACCTATGCAAACACCATCCTAAATGGAAGCAAATACTTTATCCTCTTCATTGATGATTATTCCCGGTTGTGCTGGGTGTATTTTTTGAAATTAAAGAGTGAAGTTGCAGTGGTGTTTAAGAGGTTTAAGTGCAGGTTGAAAAACAATCAGGCCTATGTATAAAAACTGTTAGAAGTGATAATGGGAGTAAGTATACTTCCAACGAATTTGAAAAAATCTGCAGGGAGGCTAGAATTGTTCACCAGTTCAGTTGTCCCTATACTCCACAGCAAAATGGAGTTAGTGAGAGGAAGAATAGGACTGTAATGGAGATGGCAAGGTGCATGGTTGCTGAGAAGAGGCTGCCCAAATCATTTTGGGCAGAAGTTGTAAATACAGGGGTCTATTTACTTAATAGACTCCCTACTAAAGCCTTGACAAATCAAACACCCTATGAAGCTTGGTATGGAATGAAGCCCTCAGTGAGAAACCTGAAAATTTTTGGGAGTGTGTGTTATGCTCTCATTCCAGCAGCCAAAAGAAGTAAGCTAGATGAGAAGGCCTTGACAGGAATTTTTATAAGTTATAGTGAGCAGTCCAAGGCCTATAGAATCAATGATCCTGCAACCAAGAAGATACACATCACAAGGGATGCGAGGGTGGATGAAAAAGGGACCTGGAACTGGGTGAAAAATGAAGCTGAAGTGGACAAAATAGAGCAGATTGCAGATGTACCAGTGGACAGATTTGAGATCTAGAAGAGGCAAACTTGGATGATGATTTTCCAATCAGGGGAACAAGGTCTTTGGCTAAGGTTTATGAGAGATATAATGCAGCCATGCTTGAACCTACAAACTTCCAGGAGGCTGCTAAATCTGAAATCTGGAGGAATGCAATGCAGGAGGAGATAAACATGATTGAGAAGAATGGAACATGGGAGTTAGTTGACAGACCAACAACCAGGAGAGTGATCCAAGTAAAATGGATTTTTAAAAGGAAGCTAAAGCTTGATGGTTCAGTGTACAAACATAAAGCAAGACTAGTTGTTAAGGGTTTTGCTCAACAATATGGTGTGGATTTTTTGGATACCTTTGCACTAGTGGCTAGGCATGACACTATAAGGATTCTTCTTGGATTGGCAGCCCAATTTGAGTGGAGAATCTACCAATTAGATGTCAAGTCAGCATTTTTAAATAGTTGGCTCAATGAGGAAATTTTTGTGGAGCAACCGGAGGGATATGAAGTGG